GTCAATGTCCCTATTTCATTGTGGCACTCAGTAAAGTGTACCTTTCACAACACAACAAATGCAGCTTAACAGAGCAATGTAGCAGACCTTATGAATGCTTGTTTTTTTTCATTAAACTGACAGATAATTGTATCATTATAAACATTTTACAATGTGCTGACATATTAGTAAGTTTTCAGTAATGTTAAGTGAATATTTGTATCATATCTGCAAATTAAATCTATTCTACATTATTCACTTTATGTGAAGAGTTGTTAGAAAAACTGTAAAAAATGTTTTACTTATTTAATATTGTTATAAAACTAGTAAAAATTTAGATAACCTTTTGTTCAGCTGTTTTGATTATTCAGATATAATTTCTAATGTCTTATGTAATGAAAAACTAACAATTATTAATCTATCTGTTTTCCCTAATTCAATATCTGCCTTCTTGTCTTATTTTATTTTTACCTATATTATAAATTAGGGGATTTTTCTAAGGATGGAACACTACTATAAACACTATCAAAGTGAAATTCTCTCGACGGAAAATTTAAAATAATACCATATAGGTATAAAGTTTTATTCCTGTGAAATTTATTGCTGAATATTGCTCTTAAGATCATCAATAAATTCACAAAGTGTTCTTCTGAATGGATTTATTGTGTTTGTCAGTAAATTAAATAAGTTCTACTGACTTTTCTTAAAAACAAAAGTAAATAATCTTATTCATGTTTTTCAGAGTCAGAAGTGAAATTGTTTAATTGTTTTATGTTTTAAGATTTTTTTAAGATGTTAAACTATGGTAGTGCTTAAAATAATTCTTTTTACCACTGACCAAAAATAAATCTTAGTGATTGTCAAATTGCTACTAATCTTATGCTTTCAGATGAATGCACTTAATATTCTTACTGGCAAGGGGGAATCTTACTTGAAATATAGGTGACTCGGTATGTACTGGAGTGGTTTATGTTGAATTACCACTTGGTTCTGTTCTGTGGGTTCTCTAATTCAGTTGCACCAATGCCATCCAAGCAAAGAAGCATTTAGATTTAAAATATTCAGATTTAAAGTATCCATATTTGTCTGTCATGCCTTTATTTAAAATATGTCAAGATGTATTTATAGAGTTACTGAAGCATACAGAGTTAGGAATAAAGATGAGTAATATACTTTTGTTATATTGGATTCAGATTCTGTCTGTGGAAATATTTACAACTTCATGCATAGTATTTCTGGACGATTATCTTCTTGTCAGTACTGAAGAATTCAATTTTTGTAAGATAAATCTCGCTATAGATTAACCTGTCAACAAGACAGAAAATAGAGAGGATGTCATGATTTTACAAAATAACTTACATTTTAAAGTAATTTAATTCTCCCCTCCAACTTAAAGAAAGACATATCCTTAGGGCAGGATATAATGAGGAATACATTATAGTGGGTAAGAATATAAGATTGTATTATAAAATATATAAATATATATATAGCTCTTATTTATATATTTATATATCATATATATATAAATATTATGTTATATATATATATATACATATATATATATATATATATATAATATATAAATATTCTGTTATGGCTTCAAAGCCTAAGGCAGATGTGAAGAGGACATAGATGGTAGTGGACAGAGGAAATCTATGAGATTTTCTTTCTCATCTCAGTTCTGCCACTGATTAGGAGGGTGGGGTTAGATAAGGCTCAGCCTATCTTGGCTGCAGTTTCTTCATCCCTGAAAAGCAGGGGTTGAACTTCAATTATCTTCTCATGGGCTTTCCAGTTCTAAAATTCTGTCATTTAGGGAAGAAGCCATAATGAGCTTACAAACAATTTCCATCTGTTACTATACTGGTTTGGCTCTTCAATTCAAATTATTTTTCTAAAGTTATTTGGAAACTTTAAAAGAACTTTCCTCTCCATTTTGAAATATTGTTGGTCTTTTCTGAGAAGCAAATCAACTTTTAAGTGCAAAAACCGTATCTCTAAAGCAATGGTTAACTTATGACCAGTTGGAATCTCCTCAAATGAGTTAGCCCAGTGAGCTTCCTGGTTTTTATTTTTGTGATGATTTAACTTTCCTGTAAACAAAATCAGCAAGAGCCGTCCTTTATGACCTGATTAAAATATGAGTGTTTTTTAAAAAAGAATTTTGTCAAAAACTAATGATGTAATGTATCCTGATTAACATAACATAGTAATAAAAAAAATTAAAAATAAATAAATAAAATAAATAAAAAATAATTTTGCTAGGATCATTTTTTAAAGGATCGACTCTAAAAATGTTTGATTGCAAATGATTGTGCAACAATCCAGAAGAAAACCTGATATTGATGGTGGTATTTTTCTTCCCCTCACTTTGTCTTGATACTGAATAATGGTTGGATTTAACCATTTTTTTCTCCATAGTTACACAGCTTTTGAATAAGAGTTCCAGAAATGACAGTTCTGATCAGTATTATTCACAAATGATAAGAAACATTTGTATAGGTACAGTGGGGGAAAGATAACCTTTTTACATGAAGAGAAAAGATACATAAAGGAAAAAACTCACAGTTATGGAAAGCTACAACTGTGTCGTTTTTTTTTTTCTCTGTATACAAGCTAAAGATTTTATTTATAATTTTACTGAAAAATTTTAAAGTTAAATAACATTCCTTCGAAGCAGGTATGTTCAGACATACATAAACATAAAAATGCAATATTGAAATAGAGTTGTGGGAATCGTCCTGGCTGGCACTCAAATCTTTACTCTCCTTGGTTGGTGTGATAATCTGAACTTTAAAATAAATGTGTTTTTGTTTGACATTTATAAATTGTGCAAACGCTTATTAAAGACTCATGTTATTAGCATGTGTTAAGGGGGGTTTCTTATTTTCTGACTAACATTTCAGTATTTTTAATTATGATAAACCATGTAACACAGACTCATGAATTTTGGGGCAGTGGAAATTATTTCCTTTGACTCTTTTTTCTGCATATCATCAATTTGCTTTTTACTCATGTTTCTTCTACTGTCGCTGTAAGCTTACTTGTTGTTTTTTCTTTCCTTTTCTTCATGCTGTCGTTTAGAGCCCTACAGAGAGACAAGTATGGGAGTAAAGCTAAACATTGCATATCAAATGTAATTTTTTTTAGTTCACTTTTATTGCATCACATATAGATGATGTAGTTATTAAAAACAGTTCATCTCACAATTTAAAAACTAAAGAGCCTTTGAATCGACTTATATAAATTTATGTTAATAGAGATTAGACGCTTTTGTTGTCTGATTCTTTTATTGTGTCACATGATCAACATAGTTGTTAAGTCTCATGTAATGTTTGTGTGAGTTAAATTGTTTTTAAATTAAGCATTTATTTTTGCTAAGTAATGCATAAACTTTTAATTTTTATTAGTACATTCCATCATACAAATGTATGTCACATGCAACATACCCACTTTATTTTACTATGGCTGTTTCCAACCTGTACCTAATGCATTGACAACAGAAGTAATACACACGTTTCAATGCATCAGTCACTCAACCATAACCATCCAGCATACCATGGCGGCCTCCACAGCAGCAATCACCCATCACATATGGCCCTTTAAAAAGCATTTACTTTTATTTTTCTTAACATTGTGGATTTGTCTACAAGATATCTTATAACATGAAAATAAATCGCTTCACCCTATGTCTGTGATGGCTGCCTTTTAATGAATCCTTTATGCGTTCCTGTTTTTGGAAACTGTTACTTGAGTACAGAGTATGCATCAGAAGTCCATATAAAAATTGATACATTTGGGAGACTTTATTTAAACCAGCAATGAATGAGTTCAGTTTTGGATAAACATAACTGCATCACAGATATAGAATGAATGCTATATTTTCACAAGTTAGCAGTGTATTGAGAAGTTTAATAGAATTCTTCAATTAATTGTTCTGTAAAGAAATATCCTTTCTTATTTATGAGTATTGGTTAAATGTTTGTGTTTTCTTTCGTGGTTGCATTTTAACTGATTTTGGAACTATTATAGATTCTTGGATTTCTGTTTATTCAAGAGAATGCAAAAACCTTGAAGAAGCATGTGGTTAAATTTTATTTCACTGCAATTATTTCTTCCCAGAATAAAATGTTTAATCTCCTTTAAACTCAAAGTTTAATATATGCACACAAAGTCATCACTCATTATGGCATGGAATCTTTAATACTGACACTATGTTTTTAGGAATCAGATCCCTGTGTCTTTACACATTCTCTTGTAATATTATTATCTACTGACCCTAAACAATCACTAATGGGTTTATATGTAGGAAAAAAATTAGAAAGTAAATCCAAATATTTTTGTTTTGAAAACTCCTATGTGCAAATTATTTTGATGTGCCATTTATTTGACTAAGCATTATTTCATGAGTACATCACTTTGACAAATTTAACATAATCCTTTTGTGGTTTTGTGTGTAGGAATTAATTTGAATCTTACGAAATTCTTTATCAAATTCTTAGAAAGTGCTTGATTCTCTTCCTTTTGACCAGCATATTCAAAGCACCACACATGAATTATGTTAATATTATACCTATTTTAATGTTAAGACATGTAAAATTAAAGGTAATGAATTATTGAATTGACTTTGATGTGTATAAATTGAAAGCTACGAATGATTACACCAAAATTTTGTGGGTTTTTTTTTTTTTCTAAGTTATAGCCAAATATGCTTTAGATAATATCAGGCAATGCTTGTGTGGAAATTGCAAATTCATAGGTTTTTAAAAATTACTATTTTAAAGATTTATTTTAGATGCTTTTCCATTTATAGGGTTTCTATCAATTGCCCAAGTGTATATATAGATACGTACATATAGACTTACTAGTCTTTTTCATTTATTTCCAAACATTCGATACTTAATTAAACATGCTAGCAATTTATACATCTTTCATGGTCGGATGTTTTTGCTTTTGTGTTTGTGTGTGTGTTCTGTGGCCAACTGGATGTAAATGTCATAGTGTTCTGTAATCTTTTTCAGAGGGGCTTCTGAACAATGCCAGGGATACAAGTGTCATGGATACTCTACCACTGAATGGTAACCATGGCAATAGTTACAGCATTGCCAGTGGTGAATACCTGAGCAACTGTGTGCAAATCATAGACCGTGGCTATAACCACAACGAGACCGCCCTAGAGAAAAAGATTCTGAAGGAACTCACTTCCAACTATATCCCGTCTTACCTGAACAACCACGAGCGCTCCAGTGAACAGAACAGGAATCTGATGAACAAGCTGGTGAATAACCTCGGCAGTGGGAGTGAAGATGATGCCATTGTCCTGGATGACGCCACCTCCTTTAACCATGAGGAGAGTTTGGGCCTGGAACTCATCCATGAGGAATCTGATGCTCCTTTGCTTCCCCCGAGGGTCTACTCCGCGGAGAACCACCAGCCACACCATTACACCAGAAGGCGGCTCCCCCAAGACCACAGTGAGAGCTTTTTCCCTTTACTAACCAACGAGCACACAGAGGATCTCCAGTCACCCCATAGGGACTCTCTGTACACCAGCATGCCGGCCCTGGCTGGTGTGCCTGCCACAGAGAGCGTTACCACCAGCACCCAGACCGAACCCCCACCGGCCAAATGTGGTGATGCCGAAGATGTTTACTACAAAAGCATGCCAAACCTAGGCTCCAGAAACCACGTCCATCAGCTGCACACCTACTACCAGCTAGGACGTGGCAGCAGTGATGGATTTATAGTTCCTCCAAACAAAGATGGGACCCCTCCAGAGGGCAGTTCGAAAGGACCAGCTCATTTGGTCACTAGTCTATAGAAGATGACACAGAAATTTAAGCCAACAGAACTAACAGCTGGTTGACTGTTCTGAGTTGATATAAGCAGGGGTAATAATGTGTGTACTCTTAAATCTTTATGCTGTTCTTGAGAGACAAACACAAACTTCCAGACTTTTTTTTTTTTTTTTTTAAACTGGGATTTTTAGGTCAGCCCGGGGGAGAAAGATAACTGCTGAAATTCCCCCGTGCCCTCTCCTTTCCTGTCTTTCCCCCTCAGATGGAGACTTCATTATGTTAATGAACGAGATATGAAGAAAATGGCGCTCATTGTGGCCTTGTAGAATTCTGTTGTGTTTGTTCTAACATCTCTGATGCTCTGTTACTATAATAACAAGGACCTGATTTTTAAAAGGCCAGAATGGTTGTTCGAAATTAGTAACAGTGCTGCATCTAGATTGGAGTGCTGCACAAACAAACATAAAAACAAAGCAAAACTGCATCACATAGTGGTTTTTAGTCACTCACAACCTGAATTCACGGCAGCAGGAATAGCTGTGGAATACAAGATAAAACAACAAAATAATGAAATGGAGGGGAATTCTAGAATTATATGCTAAATGCATATTTTATGATTTGCTGTATTAACTGATGATAAAACTAATGGCAGAAAAAAATTGAACAATTTCTATGTAATGTACAGATACTAGCATTGCACATATAGTCAGCTTTCTGTTCCTCCAGAATTTGAGTCCTGTTAATGTAGTGGAAAAAAAGAGATATTTTCTTTTTCTTTCGTGCTGGTCTTGCAAGTTTGTCTACCAGTAAGAGAGCAGTTTCCTTCCTTTCTTCTTTCTTTTCTTTCTTCCTTCATTTTCTTTTCCTTTTTTTCCTCTCTTTTCCTTTTTTTCTCTTTTCCTTTTTTTCTTTCTTTCTTCTTTCTTTCTTTCTTTCTTTCTTTCTTTCTTTCTTTCCTTCTTTTTTTCTTTCTTCCTTTCTTCTTTTTTTTATTGCTTTTTTTCTTTAAAATTTCACCTGGCAAAAAATAAATAAATAAATAAATAAAACTATCACTTTATAAGAATCATTTTCTAGTAATACAAATTATTTTTTACAAAAAAAATAAAATAAATAAAATTAGACTTTCTTCCCTCACTATATATCTTTATTCAGTCAGAGTATTTCCAAGAGCATTTTTGCAAATTAGAGCAGGACGAACTTCTATGTTTACAGTGCACATCTGTTGTAATGCAAAGCATATTTGGCAAGCAGTTCATCACCAAGACAGTAGCTATGATTCTAGAAGTCAAGAGGTGTCAATAGAACTAGTGGGGCTTCTGCATGTAAAAAAAAAAAACAAACGGTATCCCATAGGCGTTAAAGTGCTGAATGCTCAGTCTGATCCCCAAGTGGGCACCTGCACTACCAATTTTTAAAGGAAATTCACTCCCTTGTAGTAAGAATTGAAAGGTCAAGTTATTTTGAAGTGATTTTTTTTCAAAAAACTTCTGTTTATTAACAGGAAAATTTATTTATTTGACAGGATTTTAAGTAATGTAGGAATACAAGAGGTAAATTAGCAGCACATATAATTTTTTTTTTAAATTTATGATCCATTTTGTATGGTCTCAAAGTTGGATGACCTCATTACTAATATTTGTTGTAAAAGTGAAACTTGTTTGCCAAACAATAAACAACTGATTGAGATTTAGAAGATATTGTTTTGATGTATGTACTATATGATTAATTACTCTTTTCATTTTTCTCGTCTTTCCTTCTGTTTTCATTATATATACTTTGCTAATCTTCTATGGCCCAAATGAGCCATGCAAAAGAAATCAAATCTGCCTAGATGGATAACCTAAGCACAAAATTACACCATTTTTGCAGACAAAGTAAACCAGAGAAATGGGATGGGCATGTTTATGTTGGATGAAATAAGATACATAACTTACTTTTAAGCAGGTTAATATGTTACTATGTGCTTATTTTATAAACCAGCTGGAGTCACTATGCCTACTATAAAAACCAGCTTCAATCAGAGATTTAAGTATGGAATTGGAGGAGGGGGTGGGTCATGTCTTTTTCTTCCTTGTAGGTCCCATTTCGATGTTAAATTTAAAGTCACTCAATTGGCTAAAAAAATGCCAGAATAATGGCAAAGTGAATATCCATTTTATAAAGATAATATATTTTTATGCTAATTTTTCTTGTCCCATATATGGAAAAAAGTCCTTTCAAAGAAATTTTCTACATCTCCAGTTACTGAAGAACCCTTATCAGCAGTGTCTAAGCATGGAGTCCCTTCTAGAGCAAAGCCAGAATGAATTTGCCAAATTAGAATTTCTCTTGTAGTGTGTGGTATTTTGGTGATTTCTTTTTTTCTTTTCCCCCCCAAATCTAAACACCACCCATCTATAAATTAATTTCTTAAGATGAGAAGGAGTAGTTTACAGAATAGCCAGTAATCTATATATAGTTTAAAAATATACAACAAAAAAAATTCTGTGCTGGACCAGAGTACATCATAACCTTAATATCACCTTAGAATATCTTATTTATCATTCCTTTTTGGTCACTTAACTGAAGTATTTTTTAAGTCTCCAGATTTTTTTTAAGTTGCAGGAGAACCTCAAGCTTTAATGGTAATTAGGTTTTCTCATACCACCCTATGGCAATATTAACACCTGACAGGTGGTTATCCTATCTGTTGCATAGAATACAGTTGGTAATGAAAGAACTCTTTTTTGACAAGTTTAAGGTAACTTCAGAAACACAGATGTTGGTCTGTGGATTATGAGCACTTATGCTTGTTTTACCAATTCAACAGAAATCCATATGAAAGCAGCTCTGTCAGTAAGAAGCCAGTTTCACAGAATGGGGAAACTACCTCAACTCAGCTTGCTGATGCTGCCAATTCTGATTTTCAGATATCGCTACCTCCCCACACGTTATCTTTTATGTTTCATTACGTGGAAATTTGAAACAGGTAGCCTCCCAGCTTTACATAGACCAAGCTGAAGAAAATCACTTGAATACATAAATTGGCGCAGAAGGCCATTTCGTACTGTCAGTTACTACCAAGCTCTTGCAGCAAGATGAAAGGATGAGATTTTTGAATTTGAATACATCATAATTGATGTGCTTTCAGAAAGACTTAAGATCCCAAAGACTTTTACAGAAAGAGATTGTTCCCCCAAGTTTTATGTGACTATAATAAAACAAAACAGTAAAGAAATTAATTATGTATACATTTCAATAGAAATTTGTGTATATCTACCATGTATTCATTTAGTCCATTTTACACTAGCAAGGGTTGAATTCTTGAACTTGACTTTTTTCCCCACGTCTTCCCTTGTGTAGCTATTGATAAATTAATAATTTTAAATTTTTTTCTTGTTTTTTTACCACCTTAGGTTGACTATGTTTTAATACCCTGTGCCATACATGACCTACTTATCTGCATATTTCTGATATGTTTATCTGATTTTCTGTAAAGTAAATTTTCACCAAACATACTGTACATACATAAGCACATTATTTGGATAGCCGCAAGTAAAAGTTACGCCAATGAAACAAACCAATTATTATTTCCTAGTAAAATAATATTTTCATAATGTTTTACTCTTGAACTTTTTTTTCGTTTTGAGGTCTATTTCCCATGCTACTTTATCAGGACACTAGCTAACAGACCTCATGTTTAGCTGAATCACAGACTGTTGGATTGTTGCACAGCCCATGTTCCTAATTGATAATATTTATGGAGAAATCTAAATTTTGTGAAGGAGAAATAGATTTGATTTCCTTTAAGTTTTTTGAGTATCCCTCTGGTTCCACACTACTAAAGTTAAAAATACTATAGTTGAATAATAAATTGCTATGCTAAAATAATCATAATGACAAAAAAGAATTTGCATGAGAACAATTATGTTGAAATGAAAATAATCAGGAAACTGTATTAATCAAATGCAGATAATGGAAATATGTCAAACAAATTGTCAAACAAATTCACAAAGGCTCTAAATTAAAAGTGTAGTTTATGACCTATATTTTTTAAATCCCCATTAACCTAAAAATGTCAACATATTGATAAAAGATCTTTAAAATTTAGTGGTTTTTTGTTTTTTAATATTAACTTAGTTGGTATGATGAAATGTTTCATGGTAATGCAGATAAACGTATAAGACAATTAGTAATATTTATAGACTTAATTTTAGGCAATATCTTCAGCTTTTTCCCCCCACACATGTTCAAATCGATTGACTGGTTTGTTTACTTTAAAAAATGACATTAAAGACTTTAAAGATTGACTTTCTGCATTATAGAGACCAAAAGGGAGAGGAAAAATAGTTTCTGGGTTGTCTAAAGATCAACTCCAACTAATCAATAATCATCTCCTATTAGTGAAAGAATAATTTGTTTTTAGAAATTGTTCATTAATACTGTACCAAGGTGCTACTGCTTGAGATGTTTTTGGAAAAAACAAAACAAAACACTATAGAACTACTGTGTCAATTCAGATTTAGAGAGAGAGATAAACAAAACAAATTAGAAACCCTAATTTGATTTTGAGCAATTCTAAAAATATTGACAAGAATGTCTTTTCTTCTCTAACAAAAGTATGTGAGATAAAAGAACAATATGTACGATCTTCCTAGTATATTGTAGTACCAAGGTATTAAGATTTAATTAGTTCATGTTTAGTAATTCATGATTATAACTCACCACATAAATAATTACTATGCATTTCTAAAAATACTTTAATTATATCTTATGTTAGATTTCTGCACATTAATAAATTAGGAACATGGAAGCATAAGAATGAAGCAGCAACATTACAAAATAGCTTATGGGAGTTTTTTTGTGCAAATGAATTCTACATGGAAAGCTTCTTTGAGATCATAAAATAGATTTGATGAATCCCAACCATAAATTCAGTTTTGTAATCAGCAAATATATCCTTTTTAAGCCATCTGAAAAATATTGATAAATATCTAAATTTTCATTTCTAATTAAAAAGTGTTGGTAGCTGCTTCTTTCCTGCTTAGGCCATCAGAGGAATCACTCCTGATTGCTAATTAACCTGATTACTTCTACTTCCCCTTTGCTTTAAAAGTGAAATCAATCTTTAACTTTCACCTATACACACACTTACATACTTTGATTCCTTTTATTTACAGCTTGCAGGGGAAATAACTGATTTTTTTCAATGAAACAGGTAGTTATTATGGTTTTGCATATTTTCATTTTCAATAAAGTTATTGCTATACCCTCTTTAAAAAAAAAGCCAACACGTCTTTAACATCCAGGACCTTTAAATTATTGAAATATCTTCATTTCAACTATGTTTTGATGTTTCTTTCTCTCAGTAGTATGTCACACAAAATTTTTCTAATTTAAGTCCCATTAGAGTATTTCACAGGTAAATGCAAACTATGATTTTTAAGAAGGCATGTGAAAAGAGAACTTTGATTTATATGAAGAAGTCAAGGAAAACTATACAAGGAAAAAAAGCCTCTGTTGGGAAAACCAGGTCTTTTCAATCACAGTATGAACAGAAAAAGGGCAGAACCAAGTTGGCAGACTTACAGTGAGGTAGCAGGACCTAAATTAGAGTTACAAAAAAAAAAAAAAAAAAAATCCAGGAAAAAATAATGAAATCGTTCAGAGTGGTAAAAATCTTAGTGTACCAAATGCTATTAATGTATTAAAGCAAAAATTGAAGTATACCATATTATAATTTTATCCTGCTGATTCCACAGGAAACTCTAAACACTTTTCACACCCTTTAAATATTTCTTGTCTAGCCACACCTTGTCTCAAGGAAACATGAATATTTTATAGATATTTCTTAAGTATAAGTATTTTTGCCTCAATTCACTTTCACTCTCTAATCTGCTTACTCTATTGTATGCCAACAAAGTTAATGCTACTGGTAGCTTTGTACCTTTTAGAGCTTTATTATGAATCTTTCTAATAAACACTACATTAATATTAAATTGGAATTATGTACATTGTGCAAGATAATTCATAACCAAACAATATTCATATTACAGGGTAATTTATTGTATCTATGAATATTACATTGAGACTGAACAAATAATTACACAGCTGAAAATATTACTCTCAAGTCCTCTCTCTCTTCAATTATTATAGTCAATTCGTAAAATTCTGCAGACAGTTGTATGACATGTTATCAAAGTACTCCATAATCCAAATGTGTCTAAAAGTATTCCCAATGCTTCTTTCATTCTAGAATGCTAAAGGAAAGAGCTTGAAAGAAGAGGAAAGGAAAGCTGACTTCTAAGGATCTAATTTAGATTAACATTGCCATTCAGAACGAGTAATTTTGAAATGAGAATGTTCCACTCTGTGATCTAAGGTTATTAAAGATTTACAGTTAGTCCAATATTGGAGGATTTTAAGTTTTAAAGAATTAAGTTTTTCTCAACGGCCCAAGACTGCAGAATTTCACACTACATTGGCAAGGAAATGTGTTTACGTTCCCTACCTAATGTAGCTTTTTAAAGGTTAAAAATTCCCTGATTCTTCTGAAGGTAAAACTGGTAAAATGATCCTAGCTTCAAAAGGAAATGGCTTGGTTGACTTCGAAAAATGTTCGGCAAAACTCACGAATGTCATCAACTCTTTAACAGTCCGTAGAAGTCTTTGGGGATGGAACTCAGGATACAGTGACTAGAACACAGTGTCTTCTTAGGCTGACCACTGCCTAGTCTTCTAGAGCGTTTTTAATGCCTTGAATTTCAAGCTGTCACAATGTCTTCTTATGTTTTGAATAACATCATGAATCAAGAAAGATGAGGAAAAAAAACACCTAAAGTTGGTTTCCATGCCTCATTTCAGTATAAAGATTTCCTTTACCATCCTTAGTAATAAAAGATGATATGTCTTGAAACAGCTGTAGACAATCAGAATGTGTTCATTTATAAACAAGCCTTCTTTGTATATTCCCACACTAATCTTTGCCTATGAACTACAAAATAATAACAGAGTCAGCTTGACTTCCTTTCATTTGGCTTCTGTGAATGCATTGGAAGTAGAAGGATAATCTGGGAAGTTTCTCCATACTGTTTTCCCACTTGCCAAGCATTAAATCTAATTCAAGATCTATCTTTTCTAAAAATGATAGTTTATCTTTAAAAATAACTAATTAAGTTATTTCTCATTGATAGGAAAAATTTCTCTTTCTAGGAACAAGAATATAGCTATCGCAGGCTCTGGTCTCTTACCATTCTCATATATTTACACGTGGAATTAATCTTATCATATACACCTTCCAGATTTCTATCTATTGGATTTTTTTCCCTTGTACAACCCTTCCAACCTTTTTTTTTTCTTAAATGCTCTGTACAATCACATGTAAAATCATGAGCTACAAACCTCAATAAAAAATATCAGTAAACAATAAGTGATGTAGTCACTTTTATTATATGGGAGTGCCAAAACTTTGGTTTTGGGACAGTTTTTCGAACTACAGGGTAATTGAAACATAGACTCCTAGTAGATTTCCTTGCTATCTCCATGCCCTCCCCCCACCCTTTCTTCACACATTAAAAGTAAAATGCGAGGGCTTTTTATTTTTTTAATGTCTTCAGAGAACTGCTGCCATCCAAGGTAACCATAAGGTGATTTGCTCTTTCCAGAAGGATAGGAAGTTAAAATAAGAACTTACCATTTGCCCTTGAAGTTTGCCAATACTGAGATATAATCAAATGTCACCTAATCTTATTTATCCCCATCTTGAACTGGGGGACGGTCAGCCACTGATGAACTTCTGGTGCGAAGGAGACGATGGACTTCTGTGCTGGGACATGCCTTTCTTTTGAATAAAGGGCGCAATCAATATTAGTATATGGTGTGGGTCACAAAGATAGACATTATAGAATCACCATTTTGTAGCATCAGGGACTCCGATTATTTCGTTTACTAACTCTTAACATCAGAAAAATGAACACAAATATCAGCTGGAAAAATCCAATTCAGATACTTCTCCCTTATACTATTGAAAACACATTTTCATAAGAATTATTTGCAAAGGACATCAAGAGGAATCATCAGATTCTGAGTGCCCAGGATGTGCCTGGCACTTTGACTGGCCTCGTTTAATCTTTCTAATAATATGGTGAAGTGGATTTTTTTTCATGCTCATTTCACAGAGGAAATTTAAATTCAGATTTTACAGTCATAGAGCTAATGAATTTTGAACAAAAATCTCATAGTCTAAAGTCCGTTTTTATTTTTAACAATGTTATATTGCATCTACTAAATAGCTGGTTAAAAAAAATTAACCCACCCCTTTTCATTTAAATAAGGAGCAGGGTGGGTAACAGACAGCCAAGGGAATGTTGGAAAAATATGGAGCCCACTTTTAAGACGCTAAAAGTATTTAAACTCCATTTAACTAGGAGTTAGTTGAGAGAGAGATTGAGGTTTCACCGATTCTGTATCTTTGAATGAATTACTTTTCTAAGAATAGGTTCTTCATCTCTAAAGTAAATACAATATTTATTTTGTATGTGATATAAATGTATAAAAGTATACTTTATATATATATATAAATGTGTAATATATATACATATATAATGCACTTGGCACCCATGAAACACTTATTTAGAAAAGTCTGAAACAGATTCCGAGTTAGTGCTAAATAGACTGCATGTGTGTGTGTCTTGTTTGTATTATCACTCCTCCACTTCCTCCCCAATATACATAATGGATAGAGAAGAGTAGTATACTTGTAATTCAAATTCTAGTTAAAGTTCCACTCTGATCTATAGGACTATTTCATCCCATTATCAAAGCAGCATAATAACTGCAAGTTTCTTGGTCTTTGTGTATGCAGTTTCTCAATATTTAATCTTTACACAACAGTTTTACCAACTGAACGTCTAGCGATTAAATACAGCATGTTATAATCTCATTCCACAGGTCTCATTTGATGGAAAAAACAGTTCTAAGTTTAATTATATCTGGGAGATGCCAGATTTAACAGTCACAGAGATTTTTTTTTTTTTTTTTTTTTACTGTAGAATTTCAGAGAACACACTGCAAAACTCTACTGCATTGTTTCTTAAAATTATCTGGCCCTGGGGCTCCTGGGTGGCTTAGTTGGTTGAGTGGCTGACTTTCGTTTTGGCTCGGGTCATGATCTCCAGGTCGTGGAATAGAGCCCTGTGTCGGGCTCCTCAGCAAGGAGTCTGATCCTCTCTCCCTCTCCCCCCGCCCCCGCTTGTGTGCACATGAGCTCTCTCTTTCTCTCTCTCTAAAATAAATAGATAAATCTTTTTAAAAAATTATCTGGTCCTGAAATCCTCAAGGAACCTAAGGAGCAATACATTGAGCACTATTAACCCATGGAACTCAGTCTGTGAAACACTACCCAAAATATTTTTCTTACAACTGAGTTTTGGGTTTTTTCCTGAGTATTTTATGTCAATGAAATGTTGG